CAATCCCCGAAGAAAATAACATGAGTGCAATATGTAATTAGTCTTGTTGTGATTGTTGAACATAGAGGGTAAGTAAGTTAGCTCACCGAGACACGTGGAACACCATTAATTTAGCCGCCACCTCTGCTGATTTTGTTAGCTCTGCCTAACATCTTACTATTGAAATGTTAGTAAATAACTTTGGAAACACTTTTTAATAACTTTTACAAAACTTTGCTTCAGTAACCGAGGCGGTTTCTGCTGCTAATCAAGACCGCATCCGCTTCTCTCTTTTTTCTTCGAGATGCTGGTAAAAACGCGATGTCAACGCACAACTTCCAGTAGCTCTTCAAAATAAAAGCTCTTGCTAGGCACAGCAGGAAGTGTGGAACTAAGACACATTTTCCACTGCATCACTTATTGTAACAATAAAATAAAACAAATAAAATAATTATTCTATAACTAAACAAATCTTACCTTATTTTAACCTGTTTCTACAGCTGGATTATAAAGTTTTATCTTATCTTATCTTCTGATTACACTCAGTTATGACTTTCTCTTCCTCCAGGGGATCTCCTCTCCCCTTCCTGTTTACACGTTTCCCTCCTTGGGTTTTGGTTCAGTCTTCATGTGTGTTCTCCCTAGCCGCCATGTTCTCTGTTTTTGTTCTATAGCTCTGTCCGTGTCTCATCTCATGTTTCTATATCCCTATGTCCATGTTGGCTGTGTGTCTTAGTCTGAAGGACCTGTTTTACTTTGACAGTCTCCCATCCCACGTTCAGTGTATTCAGTTTGCTCCCTCCTGTCTTGTTATTATTTTTATTTGTCCCAGCTGTATTCCCCATGTGCTTCCTTTACACTTCATCACCTTCATGTGTATTTATGTGTTAAGCTGACATGTCTTCATTGTCAGGTTGTCTGCTTTCCGTGCTTTAAGTGTTACTGATGACCTGATATGGAAATAACATTTTCTATGTAGCATCTTAACACTGTGTTTCAACCTCGTTTATAAATTTCTTTGACAGAAAGGTCAAGAGCAGAAAACTCAAAGATTATTAAAAGGAGCAAGGAAAGCAGCAAGACGAAGATAACCAGCCGATGAAAGACATCCCATGCAATGGAAACAACTGCAAGATTTATTTTTAAAGAAAAGTGCTCATGTCCTTGTGCTGATTTGCAGCAAAATGATCAACAAAATGATCAGAATTCCAATAAAAACAAAACAAAACAAACCAGCATATTTTGAACATGTGGATGTCCTCTGCTCTGAGGTGCTGGGAGGACCAGTTAGAGACCAGCAGCTGGACGTCAGTGGTTGGACTTCAGTGAAGAAAGACAACGTCTGGCTCTGGTGTAAAGTGAACTGGGGGACCAGGGGTTATAATAAGTGTTGAGGAACACTTTTTAATCCAAGTCAATTAAATTTCTGGGAAATTGATCTAGTCAGTTAAGTAGCAGACAGGGTTGCTGACCTGCTGTTTTGGTGTTAATGACATTAACAACTGGTGCACTAGTTGGACAACAATGACAAACAGGAATGGTCTCCCTTCTCATCTGATCTATTATTTCTCTAGTTTTGTATTTGGCTAGGGTCAGTGTCACTACTGGTAGCATGAGGCAAAAGCTGGCCCTTTTCAAAGATTTAGGTCTTTTGGCTCGGCTCTCGTAGAAGAGACTTTTTTTTTTTGTTATTTTTTTTTTTAACTGGCTCCCAAATGGCTCTTTATTCGGCACTTTCTATTTTAACCTAATTTCAAAATCATGAACGGTTTGTGTGCTTAGCATTTTTTTTTTTTTTTTTTGGACAAGTTTGAAATTTGTACTCCATAATGGAAAATAACTCTAAATCTTTTACAAATTCTGTACTCTCCAATAGCATTGAAAAGCAGCCAAATGCTCCGTTTCTGATTTTACTTGATTTGTTACTTTTTCCCCAAAGTACTTGGCTCCCCCTCTCTCTCTCTCTGTAACTGGCCTGTAGACATATTTTCTTCGACTGCCCCCTCTTTCTTTGACGTAACTGTGCAATTCTGATATGCCCATTTAAATAAAGTGTGTGACCTCCGTCTGCATGGATTCTCAGAAGGTGTGAGCAGGAGTATTTGAAGATTTGGCTGTCCCTGATAGGAGTTGGCTTTTGTTACAAAGAATCGTCTCGGCTTGTTGGAACAACAACACACCAACACATCACCACTCTACTCTTGCACAGATAGACCAGCTACACCGGGATGGAATGTAATTATATGCCCTTACAAGGTTTGTTATGTCTCCCAGCACAGCCTCAAAAAATATGGAGGAGAAACATCTCTATCGTAGTTTGACAGTCTTAGGCTTTATTTGCATATTCTTGGTAACATATATTTGCAGGCAGTAGGTTCAAATCAACATCAGCTCAGCAAAAGTCTGCATCAAAGTATATAGTCATAAAAAACAATTGAATAAATAAATGAATGACTGATATGGAAGTTTTTCATTTAATAAAGCCTGCAGACAATGATGAACAGTAGCTAACATCCTTTAATAAAAACCCAAGCCTGAGTGAGAGAAAGAGCGGCCATCGGGGCACTGACCAGCAGAGTCTCTCTCTCTCCCTCCCCGCACAGCAGTTTAAATACATTCCCATAGAACAAAAGGCACTACACAGCTGTTTTTAAACCTTATGTCATCCCCAAAGAAAGAGATCACACTTCCTTTTCACCTCTTACAGTGGTTGATCCCCTTGTTTCTTCCTCCATCCTCAAAGAGAAACAAAAGACTTTACCCCCCTGTGGATTCTTCCCCAACCCCTGGTGTCAGGCTTCCTGTGTGGATGTGTCCATTTCCCAGATACATCTGTTTAACTGCACAAATAGGGTGTGAACCAGACATGCTAAAGCAGTGACAGAAAGAGCACTACTACTAAACAATGTGACCGATACATAAATGAAAGAAATTCCAACACAACGACTAAATATGTTTCCATTATACATGTAAAACTTTATTAATGAAGAAGCAAATAAAATAAAATAAAAAATATGAGCAATTCTGAAATGCTTAGAAACTGAAATAACAAACAGACTGAGAAATCTTCACTAAACAAAAAGGTAAAGATTCTCAGATGAGAGGGAGGAAAGATCTGAATCTGCAGTTACAAGGAAATTATTTCCCTTTGCTTCCATAATACTGTAAAGGCACTTTGTAAACTGGGTCGGACATTCGGTAGTAATTGATTAATGGTTCCTAAATACTATCATGCAGATTGCTGATTGTCTATAATCAACAGAACTTCACGTGTGGATTATATTATGAACCAGCTATTATGGGTGGGCGATATAAACGATATACGATAGAAACGATATAAATTTGGCCAACGATAGAGATTTTGACTATATCGCTCTA